GGCCTCCAACCTAATAGTGATACCTAATAGCGATGGCCTCCAACCTACTAGCGATACCTAACAGCGATGGCCTCCAACCTAATAGTGATACCTAATAGCGATGGCCTCCAACCTACTAGCGATACCTAACAGCGATGGCCTCCAACCTAATAGTCATACCTAGTAGCGATGGCCTCCAACCTAATAGCGATGGCCTCCAACCTACTAGCGATACCTAATAGCGATGACCTCCAACCTAATAGTGATACCTAATAGCGATGGCCTCCAACCTACTAGCGATATCTAATACGATGGCCTCCAACCTAATAGTTATACCTAATAGCAATGGCCTCCAACCTACTAGCGATACCTAATAGCGATGGTCTCCAACCTATTAGCGTTACCTAGTAGCGATAGCCTCCAACCTAACAGCGATGGCCTCAACCTAATAGCAAAGGAATACGTGTTCCTTCTTTATCCTTGGAGTTTCTAAGATGTCCGAATTAGACCAACGCTCATGTGCTTGGTCGATTGCACGCACCGAGGCTTTCATCTCCAGTGTGCGCTCTTCTTCTACACGGTGTTCGTGGTGACCATCATCTTGCCGCCCACCCAGCAGGGGTTATGGATTGCTCATCGGGTGATCAAACATCTTGTACAAGTCTTTTGAAAAGCTTTGGTGGACTTCATGAGCTGCTCCAGCAGCTTACCCAAGTCAGATCCTAAGATTTAAGGCCAATCCTCACTACAAACTAATAAATGGCTTCTATTCTTTGGGTGGGGCAGAAAAGCTTTGGTGGACTTCATGAGCTGCTCCAGCAGCTTACCCAAGATTTAAGGCCAATCCTCACTACAAACTAATAAATGGCTTCTATTCTTTGGGTGGGGCAGAACCCTTGCCCAAATTTCTTGAACTTGTTGGGGTATTGTCCTTTTCCAAACAAAGAGTTGTGGTTAGGAAGATTCTTTTCCTTGCGGTCAGTGGCGACACATGATTTGTTTGGGGAGGCGAAATCGCACTATCGTCCTGAGGGTTTCCTTTGCGGGCTTCATCCCCACCTTCCCTTTAGAGACTAACTAGTGGGTACCAATCTCCAGCTCCTCCAGTACTTGCCCCAGCGAGCCAGAAAAGACGGAACTCGTATTTTTTGAGGATTTGTTTCCGTTTTTTGTGGGAATTCTTTCCCACGGTCAAAGGAAAGGAAAGGAAGGAAGGAAGGAAGGAAGGCTTCTGTGGCTAGTGGCTTTTGTTCTGGTTCAAAAGATTTTGGTTTCGGAGACTTGTCTCTGTGGCTTGTGGCTTCTGTAGCTTTTGGCGTCCGTGGCTTTAGGCTTTGTGGCTTTTGGCTTCTGTAGGGATTAGGTTTGGAGACTTTTGGCTTCTGTAATGTTGTCACAGGATTAAGTAACCTCCCCTTATTAAGCAAGCCCAGCTCGAGCCCCCAATACAAAAGTAATCTAGAATCTGAACTATTTTAAACCTGAATTCCACATGTCCATCACCCTAATAAGTTTTTTCCTAGCAGAAACCTCCCCTATTATTAATCAAGCCCAGCTGCACCAGAAAAATAAACAACAGTTTACACTCTAATATGTATATATATATGTAGATATGTAACTATTTATTGTTTACTATCTTTTTGGTCAGTATGCAATATCTTTTGGTCCATGGTGAAACTGGTCTTCTGATCCACCCTTTTCCCATGCGGATCCTCTCATCCATCAATCATTCTCATCATTTATCATATCAGATCTATCCTATCACCAATTTGTTCTCATGGTTTAAACTCTCATGATTCACACAGAATCCCATCAACCATCAACCATCATCAGGTCCAGGTCATCATCTCATCATCCATAATCAGATCATCACCTTTATTAAGGGGATGTCGTCTCCAATACCTCCAATCTCAAACCTTGTTGATCTTGAAGGGGTGATTAATCCCGTGTTGACATTAGCTTCAGCTTCTCTAGCTTTTGGCTTTTGTTGCTTTGGGTGCTCTGGCTTTCGCTTCTATGGCTTTTTCTTGTGGCTGGCTTAAAGGCTATGCTGCTGAAAGTGCTGTATGCCCCGTGCTACTGTGAGTTGCCAGCGAGGAAGCTGTGCTGCTCACAGTGGCCGGGGATGCTTGCCCCGTTCTGCTGTGAGTTGCCAGCGGGGAAGCTAAAACCAAAGTACCTCACTAAAGCCAAACCAACACCACCACATACCCCTGCATAACCATATGAAAGCGTTACCAGAAACAACATTCCAAAAACATCAGCAAAACCTTCCCAGAAAAATAAGGCAGCCCAGAAAAACCACGCCGGACACTTGGGTGCCATTTTTAAATTTTCCTAAAATTCCAGGAACCACATGAATAGTGTGCGAGCTATCCTGCGTCCAGTAGCTAGAAGCATCCAGTAGCTAGGAGCGAACTACTCCCTTAATTAAGTAGGCGCCTACTGAATTCAGGAGGCAGGGCCAAGGGCTTTAAAAAGAACACATATAACAAAAGAAGGTTGGGTTGCGGAGCGCGTCGCAACGGTCCCAGGAACATGTTCACCACCATCGTCATCGACGCCTTTGCCGCGGAAGGCGACCCCGAGCGCTACGAGAAGATCTACCAGGCTGAGCAAGGGGGAATTGATCCGGGGATGTGAAAGACAAGAATAAGGGTAGTAGATGGTAGTAGATGATAATAAGATATGAATGATACGGTGTAGATGTCCATGTTCATTTTCCAGCTGTTTGAGGCTAATGGCTTTGCCAAGGAAGGGGGCACATCACGGACAATAGTAAAGAAAGAAACATATGGGCCAGGTGGTTCTGACACACACTTTGACAATTGGTTTTAAGTTAACTCAGTTCCCACGAGTAAAGGAATGGCTCAACGGAAAGATGTTTGAAAAAATGTTTGCTGCATGACTGCGGACTCTAGTTACTGAATACGTAGCGAGCGAAAAATGGACGCAAGCGGCAAGGAAACATGTTTGCTGCATGACTGCGGACTCTAGTTACTGAATACGTAGCGAGCGAAAAATGGACGCAAGCGGCGAGGCGGCTGGGTCAGTGGAATTGAAGGTGTTTAACAACAGTTTGTATGACTGCGCACGTTAATTACTGAATACGTAGCGATGGAAACCTGGTTTGGGATCTATCATGAGAACGACCATGGAAGCAAACCAAGAAAGTAGACAGCGTGAACAACAGTTGTCTTGCAGGTACACACCAAGGCGTCCCTAGGTGCTTCCCCTGTCACATCCCAGCTTCGTTGGGCCAGGTCGGATGTGACAGGCCTGGCCCCCCTGCACATACTGAGAAACTCTTTGGACAGAGTGTGACACACACAGAGCGCCGATATCGGCGTTCGAAAGAAAAATACTAACCACCTAAAAAGCCTTAGAAAGAAAGGAAAAAGGAAAGACAGAAAGAGAAACGCAAAGGGCGAGAGAGAAAGATAGGTGTAGTTACGAGGCCCACTAGTTACGAAACCTTCTAGTTACTGAATACTTAGCCGCATGAATTAAATGCACTAGTTAGCGGGCGGGACATTAGTCTTAAACCGCCCGGGTAGCTAGAAGTAGGACAGGAGAAACAGAAGGAAAGGTACCGACACACAAGTGTGTCGAGTGCCATTTCCTTCTGTTACCCTAGATAGCTGGGATAAAAGTGCGAATTCGGGTGCAAGGTGGGGGGGGGGGTGATTGTGGGTGTGTATGTGTGTGTGACACATATGTGCATGACGGTAAACCCGGGGCCCGGCGGTTGTCGAATCTCCGTAAACCCGGCGGTGTCAAATCTGCGTAAACTCGGCAGTGCTGTGGCAGGAAATTCATTGGGTGAGACATACAATCCAGAAAAGATAATCCAACGTATGCGGAGGACGTTGAATCAGTTACACGGTAGTCCGGAGTTGCTTCAGCGCCCCAGTGACGGGGAGCACACTCTGCACCCAGTGGGACGACAGAGCGGCACACACTTTGGCAATTGGTTTTCAGTTAACTCAGTTTCCCACGAGTAAAGGAATGGCTCAACGGAAAGGTTAGTCCAAGCACTTGAAGATGATTGAAAAATGTTTGCTGCATGACTGCGGACTCTAGTTGCTGAATACGTAGCGAGCGAAAAATGGACGCAAGCGGCAAGGCGGCTGGGTCAGTGGAATTGAAGGTGTTTAACAAAAGTTTGTATGACTGCGCACGTTAATTACTGAATACGTAGCGATGGAAACCTGGTTTGGGATCTATCATGAGAACGACCATGGAAGCAAACCAAGAAAGTAGACAGCGTGAACAACAGTTGTCTTGCAGGTACACACCAAGGCGTCCCTTGGTGCTTCCCCTGTCACATCCCAGCTTCGTTGGGCCAGGTCGGATGTGACAGGCCTGGCCCCCCTGCACATACTGAGAAACTCTTTGGACAGAGTGTGACACACACACACACACACCCCAACACAGGAGAGTTCGGACACCAGGATTTCAAACATCTTTGTGATTGCCACGTATTTGTCCTCCACCTGTTAAACTGGCCTGTTTAGCTACGGCAGCCAATGACCATGAGTGAATCCAAGCCATCGGGACAAGTGCAAGACAAGGAACAGCGCGCTTGTTTCAAGCTCACTTCAGAACCTCTCCACAGATCCCAGCTTTTTCCAAGCAGCGTATTGCTTCGGAAAACAACCACCGGTAGTGCGGTGGAGGTCGGGACGGATGTTGGTCGCTCAGAGATGGATCGCCTTCACAAACGCAGGAAGAGATGCACTCGCTGACGACCCGTTTGCTCCAGATGTTTGGCAAAGGCACATGAATTTGAGTCACAAGTTGTGATGGAATGCAGGTTTTGTGGGCGGTTTGTGGGCGGTTTTGTAGGAATGTCATGGAAGATTTGCTTTCGTTTTCCAACCATGGACCATGGATGAGCATGGGCTTCAAAAGCATACCACAGACATGCTAAATTTTCTGATCATGGCTTGGTCACACGGCCAAGTACTGTAAACATGCGTGCGTACGTATGTCCTGCCATGGAGTCCAGCAACCTCTCAACCAACTTGTCCCTTTACCAATCGGCTTGTGTTCGTGAGAATTGGTCCTTGGAACACATTAAGTGGCACATCCAATGTGGCTGTGAGTCTCATCCGCCAACAAACCCTGGTTTCGGTTGACCGAACACCAGTTCGTTGTCCTGTCGGGTTCGCCAGTGCCATAACCCACTCCAGAGGAACACGGCGCCTGGCGCCTGTTTCTCACCAAGAGGATGCTGCCCCAATGGCTGCCCAAACATCAAGCAGAGGTCTATATACCCCACGGGCGTCGGATGGGTCGGATCAATCTTATTTCTTTCGGCCGATGTGCAAAAAACATCCGAAAACCCACCTTTTTCGTGGTTTCAACACACTTTCCGGAAGTCGAAAGGGCGTCCTTTTCCGGACCTCGGTTTCCTCATGGTCCAGTGCCCCGAGAGCCTCCTCATAACCTGGGCCATGGCAGGCCATTTGACCAGCAGGACGATGGTCCCGAGACAGACCCGACCACGGCAGGCGCGGTTGACAGCAGGTGGTGGTGCCCTTTGATGAATCGATTCAGGCTCTCAAAGAGATGTCCCAAATACAGTAATAACTTGGGGCCGAAAGAAGAGACATTACGAAACCATGTGGTTCCGATTTCATTTTGGGTGATGATGCTTGTCATCCAACCATTCAATCCTTATGGCATCCTGAAAGATTGTTCTTTGAAGTGGAGTCCCCAGTTCCATGTTTCCCACGTTTTTTGCCTGTCATCGCCGGTTCTTTTGCACGATCAGAATGCGATCCTGGAATTCCTCCCGTTTTTTGCCGCAAGTCATCATGGCTCCTCATGGGCGAAAGTCCGACACTTGCTTCTCGAGGATTTCTCGGAAAAACCCAACTCCATCAGATTCAATCTGCCGTGCAAAAAACACCGAAGAGTCGGCAGCCGCTGCGCCAGGCCACCGGGGAGTCCGAGTCCGCCGCGGACGGAGCTGAAGGACCCTGTTCAGAACGGGAGCGGAGCGGACCCCTTCCGGCCCACAACAGCCACAGCCCATGAAGAATCCCAGGTACCGAGGTTTTCAAGCGTCTTTGCAAAGAGCTTTCCCCCTCCCCACCATGGCACATGCCTTTGTTCCTTTTCTCAGCGCACATGGCAGGGATTGGCTCAAGCCAGACAAGGCAAGGAGTGACAGCCTTGATTCGACCTAGTCTCCGCAGATGGTTGGGCTGAATGACAGTTGCCTGCAAAAAATGTCACTAACAGATGTGAGAACACTTTCGAGAGACTACCACTAACAAGTTGCATCAATTTTCCATGGTTCATGGCCCTTGGTTGCACAACAAGTCAGATCAAAAGGAATTGAATTTTTTCTGATCGATGCTTGAGCTCTTCGACAGCCAATGAAACGATATGAAAACGAACTAATGACGGGCATTTGCTATCGCACGCCTGCAACAAGAATGCAACAAGGCAATTGGCCCGCACAGATCCCACTTTAGACTTGTTGTTTGCATGAGATATTTGTTGTTTGCATGAAATTGGTATAGACTTCTCCAAGTCACCCTGCCCACCATGGCGGGGTACGATCAGCGGATTGCATATCATGCGAAGCGCTTCAGAGCCCACGTGGCTCCTGAGAAGGTTTTGCATCGCTACGCGCAACGGCTGGAGATTTTTCCAGGGATGGGCGAAGTGCAGAGGAAGTTCAACGCAATTTCAGTTTTTGTGATGCTTGAGGTTTTTCCTTTCCTGGATCTGATCAAGATGATGTTCAGAAGTAATTTTGTCTTAGGGGGGCAGGATCCTTGCAGCAAGTAAGGAATGCTTTCCACGTAGCATCTTGGCTTGTGACGCTTCCACCAGAGCAGGCTCTGGTTCATCATGGAGACTGGTCAGCAGCACTGCTCCTAACTCGCCATTTGGAGCTCATGAAGGGTGCTGAAGGTCTTTCTGCTCGACTGAGCTGGGTTCTTCGTAGACTGCAGGAGGCTGCACTTATCAATGAAGAGGTGGACCCACACTGGAGGGTCCTTGCGACTCAACTTTGAGTTCTCCTTGCATCAACTGCAGTGGCAGATGATCCACTCCAGCACCCTGTACAGAGTACAGCACCAGAGAGCAAATCAGCCCGCTTGATGAACAAAGCGGTGCAAGTATGGAAGAACCACACCCACGCGACAGACCAAGAAGCTTATGTAGCATCTTTGGAGGCCTCACTCAGCGCGGGAAGCGATGCGGCTCAAATCCGACAGATCCTTCGCCGCGCCGGTTGCTGCGTTGTCGCCTCCGCGCGGGTGGAACGGCAACGAGGAGGGTCCACTGGGGATGTTTGCGTATCGAAATCTTCAGGGTCGGCTTCGGAAAGTGGTGCTTTGGTGCTTGCATCGCTTAGATCTAGCTGACTGCAAGGCAAAGCCTGCACTGGAGCTCCTGGAGTCATTGCTTCAGCGATTTCAGAAGCTTCTCTTGGAAGGGCAGCAACAGATTGGTGGCAAGAAGCAGTGGCTTCGGCTGCAGACCTTGCTTGGCCAACATTCCATGGAAGGAGTAACTCACATGTACAACCACAACCTTTTTGATACGGTGTTCTAGGGTGGCCCATTACCAGTAACAGTGGGGAAAAGGTTATCAGCTATCACTATTTTTGAGAAAGGCCTGTACTAACCTAACCATCATCATCATCATCATCATCATCATCATCATCATCATCCATTGTTACTGGTAAGGGGACATACCCAATGTTGTTGTTATTTGTTGTTTGTTTTTTTGCCAAGCCCTTGAAACTTTTGAGATACCTAGCTGTGGTCCATCTCAGAAGGACCCCACAAAGCTTGCTTACCTTTTTCTTCCAGTCTTGTTTGAGTTAGGCAAGTTCGAACAGCAAGAGGCACAAGATCAACTGTGAACATGACACTCAGTTGCGCAACTGCCGACTCTGCCGACCCTGCCCTCATGGAAAAGCCAAGCGCTTTTGTGCTCTTTGTAGCGGATGTCCGCGTGGAAAGGTCAGGAGAACTGCATCACATGTAGCGGGTGCCCGCACGGCAAGATTGCCAAATCAGTTTGCTCCATATGCAGTCCATGTCCGCACGGCCGAGTAAAGCGAAGTTGCCCGGAGTGCTCTGGATGTTCGCGCGGTAAGGTGAAGCGCAGCTGCCGTTTATGCAACATTTGCCTGCGTGGCCGGGACAAGTACAAGTGCAAGTTGTGCAAACAGCAACGGCTGCAAGAAAAGGCAACCAACAGCGCAAAGCAGTGAATAAGCTTCTAGCACGGCATACTGTTGGTAGGCCACTGGACCTATCGAACACCGTTGGGAATCATATGGAATCATGAATGTTATTGTTTTCTTATTTGGCATGTCGAGCAGGAAAGACCATCGAAAGACATGTTTTTGATGGTTTTCGGCGGATCCGATCTCCAGAAAAGGTCTAGGACAGGAAACAGCTGTCCATCAGCACACTCACCGCGGCCAAAGAGGAAGTGTAGTTCACCACCTGTCGGTTCTTCGGAACGGTCAACTATCGACAGCGTCCCAGATCGATTCGACAGCCCCTTCCGGAAAATCCGGAACAACCGTTGTCCCACTCCTATATTGTTTTCAACATTCTGCTTAATTCTACCAGGATCATCCTGTTTGGGTGTCCCACGGAGGTCTTGTTTTCAACCTTCCGCTTAATTTCAACGTTCCGCTTAATTCTACCAGAATCATCCTGTTTGGGTGTTTTTGATGGAGGTCACCAATGGGGGTCCAGTCTAGCAGTGAGTGTAGGGTAGTCATGGGTAGTCTATTCGATGCCCAGACAGGATGACCCAGGTATACAGCTCGAATTGCTTTTAAGAATGCGCCCTGATTCTACCAGGATCATCCTGTTTGGGTGTTTTTGATGGTCCAGTCTATCACCCAGCCAGATCAAAATCCCGGTTGCAGTTTCTTGGTCTTACAAGGTCACATTGTGACATCATGTGACTGGCAATGCGGGCAGGGAGCAAGTTCCAGGGAGGAAGTCATCGCAGGGAAAACAACCAAGTCATCGCAAGTCAGGTTTATTTGAATCATGTTGAATCTATTTGCCAGACACGGCCAGACGGGCATGGCGCATTATGGCGCTGACGAACTGCTTGATATGATCGTCCGACCATTGTGTTTGATCTCTTGTTCTTGGTCGACGAGTCTTTATATAGTGGTTGATGCCGATCATGGTTCCAGTCATGGTTCCACCAACATGTGACCTGATATCAGGTGGTCGCCACCTCACAAGACTCTCATGTCTTTGCACCCTGGCATATCCTGGCATATCGCTGAGGAGAGAAGACGGAGGGGTGACGCACTGGTGCGAAGAAAAGGAACGTCTTTGATCGCCCTTGGTCGGTGACACGTGGACCTTCGGACCATCACCGCGGGTGGCATGGGGGTTTGACCCACACTCACGTGACACAGGACAATGATATAGGAAGTGAATGATCCAATACTCGAGGCTGCTTGGACCCTTACATGTTACATCATTTTATACAATGCTGCAGACATCAGCAGACGAAACCTTGTGTGGGACAGGTTCTCAACTGTTGAGTGTCGAAACTCCTACTTTTAGCTTTTGGCACAAACATCGCAAACGTTCTCGGGAGAGTCCTTTGTCTCGTGGATCGCTAGAAAGTGAAGTTGGGAGGATTGATAGGATCTATCTCCCAAAGTCACGAAGATGATCCACACACAGTCGAGTCTCGCAAACACGGGGCAGTTGGCAGCAAACACGGCTAACACGGCTCCTGACTTTCACATGGCGCCGACCACTGCCCCCCGTCGACTGCGAGAACAAATCTTCGGTCAACGGGTGCAACACCGACACTCCATGCATATGCCAGACACGACCTGTTTGGGACTCCCATAGGACTGCCGATCAGTTGGGGTGGTGCCAGGGGGTCAATGGGGCGACATATATGGCAGTCCCATTAGTGGTGTCTGGCAGGGTATGTTACACATGATCAACTGGTTGTAACACCGGACAGCGCCAGGTCAAACACAGTCATTCCGGAGCTTGCCGACTTGGAACACCCGCCCGGAGCAAGCGCCGTCTGCCGCCGGCGAACCACATCGCCCTCGCAGAACGCCTGTTTCACCGGTCACCGGTACAAAAAGAATCGCATGCTTCGTTGCGGTTCTCTTCTCCCTTCGCAGTCGATGGACCTGCGCTACTGGGTGCAGAAGTTCTACCGCGATGCGTCGAACTGGAACGATGCCATCGGCCTTTTGGACGGAGCAGACACGACTCCCCACCTGGCTGGTCGTGGTCGTGTGTCCAGAGGGTTTTTTTGGTCGATGGGCTTTGATGTTTTGGACTACTTTGGCGTCATACCTGTTCAATTACTTTATGTTTGTACGAATTGCGAATCTTACATATATATAATTATATATATATAGTTACACACAAAGATACATTACATGCAATATATATATATATAGGTATATATATATACACCCTAGGATTCCAACAGCCATTGATTTAATGGTCTTTACCAAAGAACCATTGTTTTACAAAGGATTTGCACTACAAAACCAGGTAAGCCATTTTTGTCATATATGGTCTTTGACGGCTAGGGTACATATATATTACTATTCATACTGTGTAGATATATACCTGGATCTTCGAAACGATACATTTATTTACCGTTTCAACAAAAAATGCCATTGCTGTTACGTTGTCTTTTTTCAAAGACAACGTTTTTTGTTGGGACCAGCGGAAACCGGCAGAAACCAAAAAGACACAGCGTTGTTAGGCTTCCAAACGGCCTCTTTAGGCGTCCAAAGGGCGTCTTTCCCTGTCCATGGATTTTGAGCACATGCTTGCGACCCCCAACACGGCATTTGTTTGATTACGGCGTCTTTTCACTGAAAAATGCTTCCGGCAAAAATTAGTGCTGTTTGAAGATCCAGGTAGAACTATGTTCATACTACTTACAGAACTTGGCTGGCTGCCTGTTCCTCTCAATGAAAGGAGTTCCGGAGTGTTCGGCTCAACTAGGCTCTCGGCTCTCAGCAGATGGGCTAAGCCATCCAGTTACCCTGCACATGTCGGGGTCACTGGACATGACTGGAGTCTTTGTGTCCACGACTGCCCAGATGGTTCACCAGATTGTCGATCCAGTTCCCATCTGACCTAATTAGCTGCTTTACTTGAGCAGCCGCCAAAACTTCCCAAGTAACAATCAACAATTTGAAGAGAGTTAAGTAACAATCCCAAGCTGCCAAAGTGTTGCGAAAGGAACTTGCGGAAAGAAGAACCTATTAGAAGAACAGTTTCTCGATAGGTTTAAGCAACCCATTCTTCGTTGGGATGTCCTCAGATCCTGGGGGGTATCTCAGCAGCGTCTCAGCAGCAAGCCACACGACGTCCCGAGGCCCATACCAGCAGCAACAGCAGCTGGCAGGAGCAGCTGTGGCAGCAGATTACAAGGCCTGGGCAGTTTGGTGGGAGGGTGTGCCAGGTGTTTGTGTCTGTTCTTTTTTGCACTCAGAATGCATCATGGAATCTCAATTCCCTCAAACATACAATGGAATGTTTGACCAAGTGAAACTCAGGATTCATCTAGCTTTCTCTAACAACCAACAAGCAGCAAAACCAACAACCAACCAACAGCAACCAAGAAGCTCCCCATTCATCTGCATTTTTCTTTTAACTCACCTGGGGGGGGTGGAACTTGTTCGTCCCAAATCTGGTCTGAACACAGCTCTTCTGCCAACCTTCGGACAAGCACTTGTTTATACTTATACTTCTTTTTCTGGGCGGGGTGGCCAGTCTTATCATTGCTTATCGACATTGCAAAGAGTTTCGCACTGTCCCTTCAGGCAGTTGACTCCAATGAAGAAGCATTCCAGTCAGTGGGAGTGATCCTGCTTTTGGCTGTAAAGATCATTGGATATTGACCAACAACTTTCAGGGTATAATAGAATAGAAGTATATAAAGGGGAACAAAGTTGGTGATCGATGTCGGTGCCCTCAGGTGGACCTTTTTCAACGTCACTCCAGCATCTCCAGTCAAGCATTTCCCCTTTTATGATGCTTCGATCGGAACGTGGACCGTCGCTTGGGCAGGCGCGAGAGCTCCCGCCCATGCCCAGCTGAATGAGAAAAAAGTCGCAGAAGCCGCTGAACCGTGGCATCCATGCGAGGGAAAACACATTGTAAAAGGGGGGTTCTGAGGAGTTTTGGTTCATCAATCACCTCGTTGAAATTTCTTGGCTCTTGAAAATTTGTGTTGAGCCTTTGTCGTTCTTCTGGGGTCTTGTTATATTAGGGTCATAACTTTCACTTCATTGTTTGGATTGAATGAAGGGGATAATTGTTGAGGTGGTCAGAGTTTCTATGTGTAGGTTCAGGTTCAATTTCTACCAAGCTGTTCTTCAAAGATGTCGAACTATTTGCTTCAAATTCATGTATTGATTGAGGTTAGGCCTGTGGTTCCTGTTTGGTTTTGCATATCAAGCATCCTTCAATCCAAAACCAGTTTGGCACAAATTGACTGAACCGATGTATTGTCCTTTTTCTTCGACATTCCGCAGATGCATCTTTGTGAGGCAGGTTCAGCTTGCGACAGGCCGGTTCGTCCTTCCAAGCGGTCGTGCACGAACGCAACCCGCGAGGGCTTTTCCGGCGCAGACCATTAAAACTGGTTGGACTTTCTTGAGCACAGGGGGCGTCGTAGTGCTGGTTCTCCAAGCTCTCATTCAAAGGCTCCTTCCTGGCTTCTTCATGAACAGGGCAGTGAGGAAGGCTGGGCAAAGGCTGGAAAGGACAGAGCCCGCCCCTGCACGGCCGCTCGAGGAGGAATACATCACGGACTTCATCAACTCACCTCAACGTAAAGCTTTGAGCACACCTTCATTCTTGGTGGTCAGTGGTTCCCAAGGCATTGGGAAATCAACCATGCTGAACAATCTCATGTGTGAGCATGCGAAGAATGGCAAAAGGGTGCTGCCGCTCAAGATGTCAAGCCGTCCTGGTGAGGACTTGAAGCTCAATGGAGCGCTGCCCAGAGCATTGCAAGCAGTAAATCTGCCGCGATACTACCCAGAACAAGTGGAGTAGTATATGCTGGAAAAGGT